TGAACCGCTGCAGCGCGGTGAGCCGGCTGTCCCGTTTCCAGGTCGCCATGCCGCCACCCCGCCGGCGGCTGCAGCATGCCAGCCACGGGCCAGGCGACTACCATGGAAGGAGCGCGGCGCTGCCTCCCGGACGCAGCCCAGCCCCTCCGCCCCCCGCCAGGCCGTGGGTGGGAGGGAGGCGGCGCTTCCTCGCTTGGAGACGGGAAAGGGAAGGGCGCGCGCACGCAGACAGGGCGGCGAAGGAGGCGGCTGGGTAGTGCGGCTGCTGACAGTGAGCGAGGCCGCCGCCTGGCACTGGCAAAGGAGCTCCTTTTTGGGAGCTCGTCCAAATAGCCGCAGAAGAACAGCTGACGAGGAGCGCTCCGGAAAAGCTTGACTTCAAGCTGAGGCAGGCCAAGGCTGTAAGAAACCGGAAAGTGGCGGGCGAGCGGCTCTGCAGGCCGCCCTCGAGGCAGGTGGCGGGAGTTCAGGGGCGCTGGGGTACGCATCGCGCCTCCTTGCCCCGTCCCAGTCGCAGACGCCAGCCGCCTCCCCCCGCCCCGGACTCTGTCCTCCTCGCCCCTGGCGGTTCCCTTCTTCCCCTCACAATGGCTCCGAAGACCGAAGTGTGCCATTTTCAGACAAGTCTTTTAGCCCCGCAGCTGCCCCAATCTAAAAGGCGCGGGAAAGGGCCGCTGGAGCCTTTGGGTGCATCCAGAAGAGCGCCTGGAGGAGGCAGCAAAGTGCCAGTCTCTGACGCTCCGACTGACTCACTGCCTCCAGGCTGTCACTGCAAGATCAACCTAGCATACCTACTTGGAGGTGGGCCTTCTGCCTGACAAGGGCGCCAGTTCTTCCAACTTGACGCCTGCATTGCCCACACATATTTCCCCACTGTCGCTTCTGGTCAAACGGGTTTTGCCGTTTTAAAAAGCAAAATAAAACCCCGGAAACACTTTTCACCAGAGGTGAAAGTGGATGAGCGTCCACACCTGGAACAGCAATTTCTTCTTTCAGGCCACCTTCAAATATCTGGGAGGGGGGGAATACTGTCTATAGCCTGCCATAGACATTCTTGCAACACTATAAGGTAGATTACAATTATTATCCCAGTATTGCAAAGCTAGGGGAAGGTGGAGTGGCTTGAGGCTTGTTTTAGATTGCTCCGTCAGGTGAAATTTAAACACTGGATTTCCTGGTTCAGAGGTTATTCTCTTAGGCACAATACTATTAATGGAGCATATGTCTTAGTTCTCATCAAGAATATCAAGTAGACTGTGATCGGGAACTCACATGTGAAAGCTTCACTATACAAAACTACAGCTTGTCCAGAACACAGCGGCAAGGGTACTTACAAGTGCCCCACTGTCTACACACATTCAACCTGTGCTTTGCCAGCTGCACTGGCTGCAAGTTGAGTACTGGATCTGCTTCAAGGTTCTGACCTTTAAGACCCTTAACAGTCTGGGACCAGCGTACCTGCAGGACCACCTCTCCCGGTATGTCCCCCAAAGAGCCTTGCGCTTAGAAGCTGAAAACCTGTGGCCCAAAAGATGTCCAGCTGTCCTCAACTAGAGCCAGGACCTTTTTGGCCCTGGCTCCGGCCTGGTGGAACTCTCTGTCTGGTGACATCCATGCCCTATGGGACTTTGCTCAGTTCCGCAGGGTGTGTAAAACAGAGATGTCCTCCCAGGCCTAGGGTTGAGGACAGCAAAGGCCCACACTGTGGCTCTCATCATGGCCTCCTCCATGACCAGTCCCTGATCTGCCCGGAGGAAGGGAGTGAAGCGCAGTTTTATGCCATCGTTAAGTCCAGTTGGTTTTATTGTAAATTAAAATTAAATTATTCTATTTATTTTAACTGATTGTGCACTGCCCTGAGCCCTTTGGAAAAGGCAGTCTATAAATGTAAATAATAATAATAATGGTATATTATTATGGCCGGAAAGGACATAGCTGGGCCGGAAGCAGGCGAAGCCGCGTGTCTGGGAAGAGCGCACCACCACCGAACGCCAGAGACAAGACACTTCCGCCAAGTCCCGAGTCCCGTCTGACCAAGCCGAACTGCCCCGACAGAAAGAACATCATGACATGCCACCACAGAGGGGGTGCTGGTAGGATGTCCCTCCCCTATATACATTGTGCCCGTAGCTAGGAACAGAAACGGTGGTTAGCACCAAGAAAAACTTGTAAGCCGCTCAGAGACCCCAACTATGGGATTAGAGCGGGGTATTAAATTGAAAGCATGAATAAATAAATGGTATTATGGTATTCCCAGTAGTCATGTATGGCTGCGAGAGTTGGACTATAAGGAAGGCCGAGCGCCGAAGAATAGATTCTTTTGAACTATGGTGCTGGAGAAGACTCTTGAGAGTCCCTTGGACTGCAAGAAGATCAAATCAGTCAATCCTAAAAGAAATCAACCCTGACTGTTCCCTGGAAGGCCAGATAATGAAACTGAAGCTCAAATACTTTGGCCACCAAATGAGAAGGGAGCACTCACTGGAGAAGACCCTGATGCTGGGAAAGATTGAAGATCAAAGAAGAAGGGGACGGCAAAGGATGAGATGGTTGGACAGTGTCATCGACGCAACGAAAATGAAATTGAGCCAACTTCAGAGGACAGCGGGAGACAGGAGGGCCTGGCGGGAGCTGGTCCATGGGGTCGCGAAGAGTCGGACTCGACTGTGTGACTGAACAACAACAATAATTAAAAAGTCCATCTACATAGAACATGTCAAGACTAGTTGGCCAAGTTTATGAGTGCAATCAATATGCATAGTTATTCCTCTCTAAGCCAACCAAAGTCAATGGACTGAGTCAGGAGCAACTCAGCATAGGTTTGCACCATTCTCCATGATATGCTGGTTTTCTCTGTGAGGGGAGTTTTTAAAAAACCAGAGCATGCAACCATATGAGTCTTTACCTGCAGACTAAAGTAGTTCAGCCCAGACACAGGTTTACCACCACAGTGAGAACTAAGTATGTTTCTCTTAGCAAAATTATCCTTGATGGTTGCAAGATCTGTCATGTTCAGAGGTAGTACAAGATATTAGGAGGGGAAGCAATGCAGGGGCATGAGCATTACCTTCCTGTCCTTTTTCTACAAGTATCTCACTGGCTGAGACCAAAGACTGATAGGCCTTAGTTTGATCCTACAAGACTTATTTTGCCTGCTAAAGGCACTGGAGAAAAAACCTTATGGATTTTCAGCACCTGTCCATAGATAGAAAAGGCTGCAAGAGTGTGGGTTGCAGTGCCCAGAGTACTGGAAAACAGGAACAGTCAGGGACTGTGTCTCAAACTGCAGCGGTATACCTCCGCTGGAGCTTCAGCAGCAGGCTCGTAGCTAACGCGGGGCCAACAGGGTCCAACCCCCTAGCAGTTTTTATGGGGCCCCTTCCTGAGCCTCAGCTCCCCTACCCCAACACCCCCTGATTGCCTGTCAACCTGTTGGCAGGGAGGACAAGGGCAGTTGTTTCAGAGGCTGCCCCGGGTGCTGTGCTGCAGGAAGAGGCACTGGGGCTCCTTGGGGAGGGAGGGAGCTGGACCTGTACGCTCCGCAGGGAAAGCCTGCCCTTGCATGAGGGGAGGTGGGGGACAGAGGGAAGCTGCAGCCCTTGCCCTGGAGCCTTTGATTGAATTAGTAGGTGGCCTCCCCCAGGCCCCCTCCCTAAAAAGTCCTTAGCTACGGGGCTGTTCAGCAGTAGAATATTTCTCTTTTGCAGTGTCAGCATTCCCAATCCAAGGCTCCTTGTTCACTTCACTGCATCTGCACTTTTTACCAAAATGAATGACTTGATTGCTGATAACACAACAAAGATTCTTGTGGCACCTTAAACATATTTATCATTGTCATAAGCTTTTTTTGAGCCCAAGCCCACTTTGTGAGATACATAAATGTTCAGTTGGCAGAAATATATGCACAAGGACATAAACTGGGAAGGGGGGGCAGGGGAAGTATTCCAAGCAGAGGCTATAAGGGCCCATAGATAAAATGCTGCAGCAGTGTGTGGAATTGAGAAAAGGACATAGCTGTGTTACTTTGTAGACTACAGATGAAAACAGAATCCAATGAAAACAGTAAACAGTCAAATCAGTGTAAATGTGGATTACCCCCAATCTCTGATGGAACTGCAAAAGGAAGATGAACAGTGTATTTAAACCTGCAAGGAACTGTAATTGCTTTGTGTAGGTCATAGTAAAAAGGTAAAGGTTCCCTTGCTCGAAAGCCAGTCGAATCCGACTCTAGGGTTGCGGTGCTCATCTCCGTTTCAAAGCCGAAGAGCCAGCGCTGTCCGAAGACGTTTCCGTGGTCATGTGGCCGGCATGACTAAACACCAAGGCGCACCGAACGCTGTTACCTTCCCACCGAAGTGGTCCCTATTTATCTACTTGCAATTTCTTGCTTTTGAACTGCTAGGTTGGCAGGAGCTGGAACTAGAGATGGGAGCTCACTCCATCATGCGGCACCCAGGTCTCGAGCTGCTGAACTACTGACCTTCCACAGCCTGCAGTTCAGCGTCTTAACCACTTGAGCCACCGCAGCTCCTGTAGGTCATAGTAGGGGTACTATATTTCATAAATGGGAATGATTCACAGTACAGGGAAGGGAATTGTTCCACAAAAACAGAATTAAACAGAGTCAATATAACCTGCCTCCAGTATCAAAATCCTTTGCTACATTCAGGAAAGGGTTAAGCTCAAATCAGAAGAGGATTGCTCCAAAATCTGTGGTTTCGAACAGGGAATCTGCTTCCAGATATTAATACTCAATAACCTTTGAGGCAGTCTAGCTGTAATCTGCTGCTGATGTAATATTTAGCATTATGTAACATGAACATATTTGTATTTTTATCTAAACACATCATAAGCATTGACTTAGTAGCTGAATCTACTGATGGTGCCCTATTCTTTCCGGTACGGTGGTATACAGAAAAACCTTGAGACTTGATTCAGCATTCACTAATCACATAGGACAGTCTTGAACAAAGCCGCTGTTACTGAACCCTGAAATTCAAAATATGCATGATAATATTGACCTGCCTTACAGGATTGTTGTAAATATTACTTAAAATGCTTTGAATATTTTGAAGTCTAACTTCTGGATTTCTCTCTTGACTGGTTGAGACAGGGCAACTGAAGCCTGTACTATGTGCTTTTATTTATTTATTATATTAGGTTGTAATTAATTAGTAATTTATTACTATAGTAATTGTATTATATTACCAGATATATTAGGTTTTGTATACTGCCCTCCCTGCAGGTGGGCTTAGGGCAGTTCACAAGAGATTCATACAAAACACATTACACCCATGTATCAAAACCAATTATTAATTTGAAAAATTAAACAGTTGATCAGTTTCATCTTTTAAAGTCCCCAGTTTCTGTGCTAATCTATGCTGTTTGTAGCACTGAAATAACTGCGATTTCTAGTATCAAGAACTGCTTCCTACCATAAAAAATATTTCCTAGCACAATATTCAGAGTAAAACCAAAAAGGATGCTTATAGCACCCTAACAACTCGTAGCGCAGTCCTATGTAGAATTACTCTAATCTGCACCCATTGATTTTGGTTGGGCATAAAAATTGCAGGATTGATGACAGAAGCTCTTGTGGCACAGCCTGCTTTATCACATGTATGATGGCAATCTCATGTATAAACAATTCTTATTCACAATGTCTTCCTTTGTTTTATTGGATTTTCAAAAATGGATATTACAAAACCAATTCAGCATACTACATTAAAGCAATTCGAAGAGAATTCTGCCGTGTTTGATTGCTCCTTCCTGTAAAGCAAACAGGAAAACAGCCCTCCTTACCCTCACAAAAATTATTAGCACATCTGGAAGAAAGATCCTCTATCCTAGCCAACAGGAATGTACCATATTTCAAGTCCCAGAATCACTGGACACGGGATAGAAAAAAAGATGAGGAAAATCCCTTAAAGAAGCAACAGAGCAAGGCTGCATTTAACATGGGAGCAGGTCCCACTCAACATAGGGGGGGCTGACTTCCGAGTAAACAGACACGGGGGGCCGGGTGCAGCCCGAAACGATCGCAAGGGGTCCACAAGTGGGACTTCCTTCTGAGTAAACACGCTCCAGGATCCCGCTGCTGCTCAACCCAGCTCGCTTACCTAGGAGTAAATCCCCTTGACTCCTCTGAGATTTACTTCTGAGTAAACATGCCTAAGGGACCGGGCTAGAAAGGGGAGACGGAAAAGGAAGGAAAGCCCCTCTAAAACAGCAGAAAAGGAAGGCCGGAGAGGGTCCTGCAACGGCTCCGCTGTCGGGGGCGGCTGAGTCTGGCGTGCTCCGCCCCGGGGAGGCCGGACCAGGAAGCGTGTGTGGCCGGCGGGGGCTGCTGGAGCCGCGGCCTGAACGGTAAGAGAGGCAGGGCTCGGAGGACTGGTCGTTCCCAGCAAGGCCCAGCCCGAGCGCCTGGCTTGTGGGCCGAGAGAAGGATGGTGTGTAGGGGGGACGGCGACGGAGCGCTCGCGGCCTATGGCGGGGGTGGGGATGGGGGGGGGTGTCG